GGCTGAACCTGTGTGAGAACTTCTGGGGAGCTGGGGATGTTGAAACATCAAGTTTTTTGAAAAGTCAAGGCATTTGTAACTATGCTAAACTAACAGGGAAAACCTGGTGGCCACATGTGAACCTGCATAAAGAAGGCTGTAAACAAGGAAGGAATGTCTCACAAAAGATACATGTAAGAAAATCAAGGTTTATTATAATAAGAATGCACCACATTTTTCATCCCTGAGCCTTTTATAAAAATATGTAAGTATCTTGCCTGTCAATTTGTGGGCAGAAAAAAGCTGAGTCATGGAGCAGTAACTGATTTTTCTGACCCAACACACCGAGTGAGCGGGCGCGTGGTGCTCAGCTGCCAGCTGGGGCTAAACCACGTCAGCCAGCAACAAAGGTAGGAACGAAATTACTCCATGTGACACCCAGTCCAATGCACGATTCCTCTGATCTCTTGACTTTTCTTCCCAACATTTGGGCACACAGAAGTTCTCACCGAGGTCATGCTAAACGGGTAGTCACCTCTACCAAATGATAACTTTGTAAGCAGTTATCATACAATGTGATAGGAAGGTGTGTTTTAAGAGGCCTTTTCAATTTCTAATGTCTCTGATTTATAAAAATACAAAAGGTAGTCTGAACCTATGCCCGCTTCCCCAAATTGAGTTTCACTTGGGATAAATCATCCCTGCTTTGCCTATGCTTAGGTCTATATCACTTATTTTCCACACTTCTGCTACTCCAGCATATATCCTCAAACCCTGTGCTTGGTCCTTCTCTGTCTCAGTATCTACCCTTCCATTCAGGCACTTGCTGATGAATTTCCAGGCTCTCCTTTATGATTTTATTGCAAGTATTCATTCAACAAGGTGCCTGTAAGTGTTCTTCTAAGTGTTCTTCTGCGTGTTTACAATCTATGGCACAATTCTTTAGGTGGTCGACATGAATGGGAAAGCATATGTCAGTTTGTTTGTTTGTTACATCCTTTCATTTCTGATGAAATACAGGATTCCTGTCCCTGGATGAGATTCATTCAAAACGTTGCATCTGTTTGTAGGTCAGCTTCCACACTATCAAATCACTCTACCTCAGCAAGATACCACAAATCTACCGATCTGCAATAACAGTTTCTCTGAGAGCATTTAGTGTATGGTAAATGTGAGATAATTAATTTAACTTTGCTAGGCTTGCTGGGAAAGAGGTTAAGCCAATTTGCATTACCTTACATTTGTTTTAGAGTAAGAATGCACACAGACAGTTCCTGATGCTTAGCTGACACCTGGTAGTTTTCTCATTGCCTCAATCATCTGCCTGAGCTTGTGGGGTTCGGTTAACTTTTTTGTGTTTAACATACTGCAATGGACTTTTACAATAGACCTGATCCTCTTCTCATTAAAATGAGAAAAAAAACCCTATATTTCATCATTTAAACTCTGATTGACACTAGCAAGTTCTCAGAAATCCTTTCTTAAAGACCTTGAGATTCAAAGTCTAAAAGTTTACCAGCACCTGGCAACAAAATCACACAAAACCTCAAATGATCATTTGTTAGTATTAGGATCAAAGGCTTCCCAATCAGGATCAGACGTCCGCTACTCCAGGGCTTCGCAACGACAGAATAAAAGACGGCTTCTGCCCTCAAGCACTTAAAAACTGATGGTAAAATCTGAAACATAGACATATTTTGACCCTTGCTCATGAAAAAGTCAGACTTGAAGGGGAGAACAGTGTACAAGAAATTGTAATGATCCGAAGTTAGATGCAATTCTCTGGCAGTGAAAGGAAATATTTTTATGTTGACCCTTGAACTGGTCTAGACTACCTTTCAGAAGTAAAAACCAAATGCAGTGCCTAGTAACATCATCTCCTACGTCTTCTGCAGTGATGTTCACTGGATCTGAAAGTCACACGGCTGATGGCAGCAGCCAGTGCAAAGGTCAGTTTTCCAAGGGGATGATTAAGGAACGGACATTAACAGATTTGCAAAAACTCAAGTAAGATACTTGGAACACAAATCATCAAACTACGCTGGACTCATAAGATTCCTCATCAAGCCATAATGCTTTTATCAAAATGTCATCACATACAAACATGTGTTTCTCTCTCCTTTCTCTTGTGTTTTTTTCTGTGCACAGTAAATTACAATTTTTTCTTCCTAGATACAATATAATAAAGAGCATTTGCAATATGCTTCTTTACCTCAATCCTATGAACACTAAGGCATGTGCATAACTTTATGCACAGGTGGTAACTCATTATTATTTATGTGAGTTAAGTTATTCGCTGGAGTGCTTCCAAGACTGGAATCTCAGACTTTTGATTCTCAGCCTCTTTTTTCCCCTTCCTGGGTAGAAGCAGACTTAAATGCGGAAATTTGCTATAACATATTCCATTATAATCCAATTTATTTTTACAGAAACTACCAACTATGTATCACAATTTCCTGCCTTGCCTAGTATAGTTGAAAGACGTAAATGTGACAAAGCTTTTATGATTTTCTGATTAGTAGTATTTTTTAACCAACTATGCCTAACTTTATTACTGTTAAAATGAGATTTCCTATGTTCCTGTTTTGACAAAGGCATGTGTAGGATATTGCTAGGTACTATATATAAAATAAAATAAAGCAAAGAGAATTAATTTCAGCTTAGCATGAAATCAGTCTGGGATCTCCCTGTAACAACTTCTGCTAAGAAGAGTCACTGGAATTGAATTCTCAAGACATGAACAATTCTTCCTTTAATAAATTGGCCAAAACTTGCACTCCAACTGTTTAACAAGAATTAAACATCACGTTCCAGCTCTTGCCATGTTAAGTTCATTCTTTCACATACAAAAATAGACAGAGAAAGCAAATTTGTCAGAGTCTTGTGGTTTTATAATATTTAAACAATGTGGAAGAACATCCCCATCATCGTTTTACTGTCTTTCAACTTGAAGCAGAAGTTGCAGACTGACTCAAGTGGCACAAAGAACTGAGTGTTGAAAAGAAAGCAAGAAACATGTGCAGCTGATACAGATTTGAGCACAGCAAATTGAGAAACCGAATAAAAGGCAGACTGAACTTCTGCCAAAATGGTATTTTGTGCTACTCTGCACAAGCATATACAGAAGAGGAAACAATAATAAAAACAAATAATCTGGAAGTTTTCCCCAGATAATTTGCAGAATAAAGAAGCACAACTCTTTGGCTCTCAGAGGCATGATTTTAGCCAGATATCATTAGCGTGCAAAAGAGTCAAGACCAGCTACAGCACTTCTGTATACCAAAATACAAATTACTTTAGTTACGTTAGTATGAAGGCACTAAACTGGAGCCAGACTGTCTGTCTGTGTACTTCTGTACTAGACTGGTCCATCCACTGGAATGCCTCCTGGGACACTAGGTAAAAATATTCCGGAAGGACCAATATTTAAATGTTTTGACCAAAAGGAAAGCGACTGGAATAAAGCCCCAAAAGCTCAGTGTCCATTAGTGGAAGAGAGTTATTTAATATTGTATTGGAAGGTCAAGTTCCAGCACACGATGTTCAAAATCATTTAATTTCATGGAAAAATAATACAAACACATCAAACTCTTTTATATAAAATCTCAGAAAACAAATAGATCAATAGACTGTTAGGTAGATTCATTGTGACAGGAATTTGTATGCATGAAGCCTTAAAAATAAGCAAGAAAACAAGCAAAATATATGAATAATATTGAAGAATAGATTTTCAGTGGGTGACTGTCCTGAACAGACTTACAACAAAATCGATCTCTGGAAAAAGTGGAAATGTTTAAGTTAATTATGAATATTTTTAGCTTAAAGACACTTCCCTACATTATGTAGGAATCTCAGATTTAAGTTCAGCTCTCACTCTCTCATACGGGACACTTGTTTCCAGGAAAGCTTCATGTGGGTGGCAATGGAAGAAGAGAATACATCTCTTCTTAATAACTATATCTGGTGTCTGCTGAAGGAAAACTCACAAAGTCCATAGGGAGTTTCTGTTCCATGCTCTCTAGAAGGCAGTAGGAAAATGGATTCGGAGGTCTCAGACAATGAGGGAGTGAATGGAGAGGACAACTGGAGGTCATGAGAGATAGACTATTAATACAGGCGGACAAAAACATATTTAGGAGTGAATTTGGGAATGTCATTGTGGGTGCTAATGGTGACAAAGTTTTTCTGTTTAATGACAGACAAGCAGAGAGTGAGCAATAAAAAGCTTCTGAGCCCTTTCCAGAGAAGTTTACAAGGTTAATGTGGCCTCCCTGACAACTTTCTGTCATTGGCAATGCTATCAAAAATATCAAAATGCAATCATCAAGTGTGGAATTGTTTTAATTTTTACAATTGGAAATCACATTCTCCCCCTTCCAAGACCACAAGGGACTTTCATTCTTTTTTAACCAATTGCACCTGGAGTCACAGCATTTATCTGGGCATCCTTGCTCTCTGGATTGACCTGGGAGAAATGAATGAAATATAAATGCTTGGAGGTAGACAAAACTCCAGCTTAATCAGCCTTAAATCAGCAAGAATAACTGGAATGCAATGGAACAAAGAATACACACTGTTCACAGGGAATAAGAATGTACCTCATAAACTTTTAACACATGATGACATCTCCTAACACATGTCCTGTCACATCAACAAATCCTCACTTAAGAGCTCAGCATTGTAGAAAACTGTATCTGCCAACTGGTGCTCAGCTGCAAAAACCATCACCAGCCACACAAGTCATAATGTAACAGCTCATATGCCAATGCTCATAATTTGCTACTGCAGTAAATAATTAAAAATAGAAATGTACTAGTTTTATGAAGTACGAAGCAGATGAGCAAACGAACTGAACAACGAGAAGTACTCTTACTGCTGCACGGTTTCCCTGAAACCTAACAGAGGTGTAGTGTAGTTTTTATTCTCTTTTCATGTTAGGTCTGACCAGCCCAACAAAATAACCACTACACTGAAAGTCAGACAGAAACATCCACAGGTAGAAAACAGAAATCCACAGAATATTCCTCTGGGTAATTTTTATATTTTAAATATCAAAGTGATGCATTGACCAACCTCTGGCCACATCTCTCCCACTTCAGTGGAGTTTGAAGCTATACTCTACTGGTGCTCGGATAAGAAGCAGCAATTTGCTCTGTGTTTTACATGAGATGTTTACAGCTGCATTCAACAAGTTAAATCTTTCAGCAAATCACTAGTTTTCATTTTAACATGGATATTATAACAACCCTATATAATTCTGCAATCAAATAATTATCACACCATCCAAAGTGCTGCACAAGTATATACCAAGGAGAGTGTCCATTCTCAACTTCAAAAGTCCTCAGGCATAAGTCAGAAATCTGTTGTTCTCTTGACAAATATATGACCTGAAACTTGCCTACTGGATCCAGGCCTTCCCACCTAATCTCTGCCAGTGAAAGTCCCCGTTGCCTGTGGGCATGTTGATTTGCCTTTCCTTTTTCTCTTCTACCCCAACCACTTGTTAAACTGTAGAAATCTTTTGAAAGAGAAACTGTTTGCCTCCTGGTACCGCTACAGCTCTCAAGTGCTCCTGCACTCATCCCTCTACCTGGCCATAAGAGTGTGATGACCACCACCACAAGCTGCACCTCCTCTCACTGCATTCCCTGCTCAGCCTGAATTACAGCAGAGCAGAGAGATTAAAAGTCTAATTTCTGAATGTTTGGGTTTCACCCAGTTACTGTAAGAAATAGGGTAAAGAGCTAGTGGAGAAGGGGAATGGAAGTTTACATGTCAAGGAGTGGATGGGAAAGAACTGAAGGTGAATATCCTTGCCTGCCTGTGCATTCACACTAGCTCTAAACCCAGGATCCCACCCCTTGAAAATACGAAGTGAGGACCTTTAGTATAAGAAGATGCCGTCCCTTAAAGCAGTGTTCACATTAAAGACTCACATCTCATTTAGAATATTTAAATATGAGGGAAGGGAAAAACTCTGCTTTTCCTGTGAGGTTTTTTTTTTGTGGTTTCTTTTTTGGGACTAACCTGATTATGTTATACAAAAATGGGCTCACAAAATACATATGGAATAACACAGTATGCACAGCTGAGCATCTGTGTGACATTACACGCCTTTATTTTTTAAAATCAGACAGCAAATCACCACAATTAAATAACCTAGTATCACCATTATTTTACACTACCCTGAAATTTTTTGCATTGGAAGTAACAATTTTATACCACCTTTCCAGGATAAAGAGCTCTCTTTAGAGCCAACACTTTTGAAAGACCTATCTGCTCACAAGATTTCCACCGAGAACCTCACAATTCATGGACTATTTACTCTCATATCAACCCAATTCTCATAACAATCCAGACTTCAGTCTGGAGTAAGATCTTGTTTACAGATGGAAATCATATGCAGAAAAGATAAGGGCCACATCTGCTAAAGAGGTCATGCACCAGAGACTGACCGAGGTCCAGCTGTGCTTTCTTTCCCTTCTCCCATGTCTAACCTCTTAGGCACTTAGGCTTAGACACATCTCACCTTAAGTTTAGGCAACGCTTCAATGACATGCAAAAGTTAAAGCCTACTCATGATAAACTCTCCCTGTATTCCCCTTCCTACTGCTCTAACCTCCTTGCAGTCAACAATATATATATTTGAGTTCCATTGGTAATTACCCGTTAACCTTCCAAAAAGTTCTTTATAAATATGGCAAAGGCAATCACTGTAGGAAGGAAAAAATCTACTACTTTTATTTTACAGTGTCTGAAAACAAACACATTTCCCTACTACTGTGGATGCCACCTATCAGTCCAAAAAAAAAAAGAGGATTTTACTTAAGAATTCCTCTCCTTCTGCTTCATAGTTGTTCATGACATTTGTTTATGGATGCTGATCTCTGCAGTATAACTACATTAATTTCACTTGCCCTTAAGATACTCCTGGTTTATACAAGCTAACTTTATCTGCTGTCAGTACTACTGGCTGTTAATATGCCATTACTGTTTCAAAGGACTCTGCATGGACTCTGCATGGAGAGTCAATTTTTGGATTTTTTCAAATATCCCCACTCATATCAAAGTGGGGAACCAAGAGGAATTAAGTTTCTGTTGCTGTCTCTAAAACAGTTTTCAACATTATCCATAGATGTTTGTGAGCTACAAATCATGCTCTGATTTTTAAAACTTTGTATTAAAGTCGACTTAGACTTTACTCATATATTATGTGAGATAGCGCATGAGATGTAAACATCCAAAGGGCAAAATCAAAACAAGGATGAAAGGAATGACTGCATCACTGGGGCAATTCAGTAATTTTGTGGCAGTCTATGGGCTACATTCTACTGATATAAATGTCCATGTTCGGCTACGTTTCTCTCTTGTTTTGATAATTCTAAGTTAGAAATGGTTCTGACAAAGTCACTGCTGTTACAGTGTTTGAAAAAGAGCAGAAGACGAGTTTTTGACAGAGTAGTGAAATGTGCACTGATCTGGCACCATGAAGCTGCAAAACAAGCAAGGCTGTTTTTTACAAAACATGAATAACTACCCTTATCTTAGCATTCCAGAAATTCAGATTTTTGTCTGGGCCTGTGAGCTTTCCTATTAGCTTTCTCTTTTAATAACCACAAAAGACTGTTGCGAAACACGGAGGACTGGCCCATCTGTGGTTATAATCCACAGATTCTTGCTTTGGACATTTCTAACCCACTGGCTGGGGAGGTTGGTGTGGAAAGCATTTATCTAATGTACTGTTTCTCACATCCTTTTCTTAAGCATATGATTCTGGCTGAGGTAAAGAGGCAGGAAACATGCTAAACAAGCCCTTTATCGGACATAGTATGGCCACGGTTATGTTCTTAAAATGAATTACCTTTGCATTAATTTCACTTGAATGGCACAACACCTAGAAAACCACATAGGTACATACCAACATTCCCCTGACCATTTTCTTCCTTCCGTACATTTGCCCTAATTTTTTGTTTTTCCCAGGCCTTTAGCTCTGCCCCTCCCGGCAGTCTGCTCCTGCTGCTATCCGCTGCTCTTGCCACTCGTCCCTTCTCCCCTTGCCTTAGCATCCATTCCCTGGGCTCCCAC